TTAAATCTTGTCTCTGTAGTACTTCACATGACACCAATGTAGAATATTCTTTTTTTTTATTTCTTTTTTAAGATTTTATTTATTTATTTGACAGAGAGAGTTCACAAGTGGGCAGAGAGAGAAAGGGAAGCAGGCTCCCTGCTGAGCAGAGAGCCCGATGCGGGGCTCAATCCCAGGACCCTGAGGTCAATCATGACCCGAGCCGAAGGCAGAGGCTTAACCCACTGAGCCACCCAGGTGCCCTGCCAATGTAGAATATTCTAAAGCACCTGGTGCGTGCCTAGTGAATTTGTGGGTTGGTCCAGAATTGTGAATACCTCTGGTTTTTCCAGCAGTCCTTTACATAAAATTGTGAGGAATGATTTTATTTTGCCTTTTTCCCCCAAAGATTTATTTATTTGAGAGAGAGAGAGCATGAGAAGGGGGAGGGTCAGAGGGAGAAGCAGACTTCCTGCTGAGCAGGGACCCTGATGCAGGATTTGATCCCAGGACTCTAGATCATGACTTGTGCTGAAAGCAGTTGCTTAACCAACTGAGCCATACAGATGACCCTCGTGAGGAATTACTTTATTTTATTAAGGATTTTATTTATTTATTTGATAGAGAGAGATCCCAGGTGGGCAGAGAGGCAAGCGGTGGGAGTGAGGGGAAGCAGGCGCCCTGCTGAGCAGAGAGCCCGATGCAGGGCTCGATGCCAGGACCCTGAGATCGTGACCTGAGCCAAAGGCAGAGGTTTAACCCACTGAGCCACCCAGGCACCCCGTGAGGAATGATTTTAAAGGAATGTCTGAATGACAGGTGAGTTGTTTAAGAAAAAAATTTCAAAGTATCTTTAATATTCTACATAGACTCTGAGCTTGTTTTCAAAGAGCTGCCATGAAGAAGCTTTGTTAAAATTGAATAGCTCTAAAATGAGTCCTTTCAGGGGTCCTGGCTGAGTAAATCAGTACTTAGGTGGTTTTTTATAGATATGTAATTTTGTAGAGTAAAAGGTACCTATCTTAATGCAGTTTGATGAATTTCGACAAATGTATAGAAATGTACCTCATGTCCCAGTCAAGATTTGGAACATTTGCATCATCCTAAAAAAAAATAACTTGGTGCCATTTTCTAGTTAATGTTAATGCCTCTGGCCACTGTGTTCTCACACTAACCCATTTTGCTGGAGGCAGCCACTGTTCTGATTTCTTTTGCTAAGGGTTAGTTTGGCCTGCTTTTAAACTTCATATAAATGGACTCAGACAGTAAGTAACTCTTTTGTGTAAGGCTTCTTTCATTCAAACATCAGGATAATGTTTTTGAACTTCATCAGGTTGCTATCTGTAGCAACGTTTTTTTTTTTAAAGATTTTTAAAAAGATTTTTTATTTATTGTCAGAGAGAGAGCACAAGCAGGCAGAGTCTCAGGCAGAGGCAGAGAGAGAAAGCAGGCTCCCTGCTGGACGTGGAGCCTGATGCGGACTCGATCCCAGGACCCTGGGATCATGACCTGAGCAGAAGGCAGCGGCTTAACCGACTGAGCCACCCAGGCGTCCCATGTAGCAGCTTTTTGTTACTGAGTAGTATTCCGTTGCATGAGTGTACCACAGTTTGTGTATATATTCTCCTGTTGATGGACAGCTGATCAAATTGTGCCTATTATTGATAAATCTCTGTGAACATTCTTGTACAAGTGTTTTTGTGAACATACATTTTTATTTCTCTTGGAAAATACCAAAAGTGGAATTGCTGGTTTAACTTGATAAGAGACCAATAGTTTCCCAGAGTGATTGTATCATTTTATGGTCCTGGCAGCAATGCACAGAGAGTTCCAGTCGTTCTGTATCTTTGCTGTCATTTCGTGTCATCAGTCGTTAATCCGAGCCATTCTAGTGGGGGTAAGGAGGTATTTTGTAGTTTAGATTTGCATTTTCCTGGTGAGTAACGATGCTGAGCATCTTTTCATGGGCATATCGGACATTCATATATCTTTGGTGACGTATCTATTCAATATTTTATTCATTTTTTGTTGTGTGGGTTTTTTGTTTGTTTGTGTTTACCTCTTACTGAGTTGAGAAAGTTGTGGAAGTTCTTTATATTTCACAAGCACTTACCAGTTTCTTAGGTTGGGTTCCACAGCAAATAGACTCTGAGAAGGAGATTTGCACGTAGGAAGTTTATTGGTGAGTGCTCTTGGGAATAACACGTGGGAAAGAGTATGTAGGGTTAAGCAGATGGAGAAGTTGAACTGTAATTTGGTTACAATAGAGGCCTCGGCTCACCTGGCTCTTGAGAGATACCCGGAATTGAGGCAAGAGGACCTGGCTTTGTACCTCCTTCCATACAATGCAGGGGACTAGTCTTGGGATGTGGACTACCCTGTCAGTGGGAATATAGCCTTAGGTTAGTCTGTACCCTTGGGCCCAAGGTCAGGTCCTCAGAGGGACTGAGCTGTAAGCCAGCAGTAGGCAACACTCCCAGCAGCTCGGGGAGCAGGTGTCTCCAGCCTGGAGGAGATGGATGTGGGCAGTGTCACCGCAGCATCCACAACAGATAGATGTGTTGTGGGTATTTTCTTCCGCTATGTAACTGGTCTGTTCATTTTCTTAGTGGATCAGCAAATGTTCTAAATTTTTTTGTGTATGTCCTTGCTAAGAAATTTTACGAACACTAAGATTGCAAAAATACTCTTCCTTCTAGAAATTTTGCGTTCTAGATTTTATATTAAAGTATAATGCATCAGGAATTAATTTATGCTTATGATGTGAGCTGCCACCTAAGCGATTGTTGAGGGCGCTCAGCTCTTTCTCTTTTAAATACATCCCTTTCATCACTTCTCATCTTCCCTTAATTTGCAAGGCAGTGGCATCTTTCATTTCCATTTTCCAGAGTAGAGCGTAGTCATAGTCAAAATGCTGACAGGACAGCTTTCTTCCCAGCAATTTATTCATTAGTTTGAATTGTGGAGTTCTGAAACCAAGTCCCTACAGTGAAATGGTATGTTTAGTCCAGTTCAGTTTACCATTATTTTTGTCCTTCCTCAGGAGTAAAACTTTACATTTAAAACAAAGGTGACTTTTATGACTTCGTTAGAGAAAGTGATGAGAAGACTAAGTCATATACCATGTCCCCTTTTACACAGAACAGAGCTGCTTTATCGTCTTGCATTCTCCATGCTCTGACAGTTGGTCTCAAATGAATGCCGTGATTAACAGTGCTTTGATGAGTATAGTAACTTGTAAAAGACAAAAGCTCTTAGAATAGCTCAGTATTAAATATTAAAATAGTAACACCAGTTGTTTGGTGTCATGCTTCAATCACTTTCAATCACTTTGTCCTGTTGCCTCCTATATAAGACGTGTAAAAAAATATTCATTTAACAGAAGTAAAGCTAAAGTATCAATTATTAACCGTGAAGTCAGTTCTGCCTCCCAAGCCAGTGCCCCCAACCGCTGGATGCATTCAGAATGCTCTGTTTACAAGTAGCTAATATTGGCCATCCTGAATGTAGGAAGGACCGACCTGGCCTTTGTGCTAGGGAGCAGGGAATTCCCCTCTTGCTGTATGGCAAATATGAGTTGGTGCTGACATTGCAACTGTAGTTTCCCCATTTTCACTAGACACACAATGAGATACAGATTCCTTTCTTCTCCCAAATGAGGGGGTGGTAATGCTTCACCTAGCCTGTCAGCTAAGAAACCATTTTCCCATAGAGACAGCATATATGTATGTATGCGTATATTATATACTTATCCCCTAGCCTCAGAGTCACAAGTTCAGTAGTATGTCAGAGATAATACAGCCATTGTTTTTTTTTGCTAACCTCTTAAAACTAAAACAGAAAAGTGAAGTACATGATACTCCATTAGTTACGGAAACTTTTTCTTAAGGTACAGAGTTTCCCCCTTTTAGTTTTTAGGATCATTTTTCATACCGCTAAGACTCCAGGAAGCCATATAGGGTACAGCACTACTTCAAGAAACTTTGAAATGTAATCTTTTATATCTCGTATGTCAGGAGGCAGTCTCTCAAAGAAATTTGGGTAGTAAGAAAAAAATTGAGATTAGCTCAGATCAAAACTATAAATCATTAATGGCACTGATTGTGATGATAGTTTCACAGATGTATACTTATCTCTGTACACATCAAGTTGTATACATTAAATATCTACAGCTTTTGGATTTCAGTCATACCTCAGTAAAGTAGTTTTTAAAAGACATCCATAAAACATTTTAGTACTGTATTAATTAGGCATATTTTTTATTGTATGAGTAATACATATTCATTGTTCACTTAAAAATATTTTTGTAAGTTGTGTATTACATATTATGTTTATATTTTATAAAGTCAAAACATTTGTTAATGTTTGATTTACACTTGTTTTACCTATGTGTGTACTTTTTAATTACAAATATGAGATTATCAATGCATATTGTTTGCCACCAGCTTTTTCCTCATAGCAGTGCATCGTGACTTTGTATATCTGTGAAGAGACCTGAATCATAATGTTTAATGGCTGGGTGGTGTTGTACTGTGACGAAGTATTATGGTTTAGTCAATGAATCTCCTTTTTTGAAGATTTAGGATATTTTTAGGTTTGTACTCTTAGTGCAGTGATCATCTTTGCATAGTTTTTTCTTGGGATAAATTTCTAGAAGTGAAATTGCTGGATGAAAGAATTCACATTTTTGAGGCTTTAAATTGAAATTGCCAAATAGCGGTTACCATACGTTGTAGTAATTGACTTTTCTCCCAGCCTCAGACAGATGTGCTTGTTTCTCCCATCATGGACGATAGACAAATTTTCCCACATCACTGCCAATCTAGTAAATTTATAAGTGGCATCTCCCTGTTTTAATTGGCATTAATTCTTCATGAAGCTGACCCTGTTTCATGTTCACTAGACATTCTAGATTTTGGTCTCACAAATGAGCAGCTCACGGTCTTGATTACAGATCCTTCAGAAACTTTTTCTCATTCGATCATCAATCTTTTCAGCAGTTTCTGGTATTTTCTTTCCAGGAGCGGCTAAAGCTGGTGACAGTTTTGGGAGCTGGCCTTCTCTGTGGAACTGCACTGGCGGTCATCGTGCCCGAAGGAGTACATGCACTTTATGAAGATATTCTTGCGGGTGAGAGACAAAGAACAGGGTCTTCTTTGAGATATGTTGTTGACATGGAGGACTGAAAGGAGAAGCCTCATGGGTTTTTTCCCTGAACATAGTTCATATCTGCCATAGAATTCTGTCTTGGGAAAAGTTCTTAAAACATACCTTTTGATGTCTTTGACATTGAACACATCCTTAGCAGTTTGTGAATTGAATCCCCTGCTCATGAATGCCAATTAAGATTCATTTGCTATAATGCATGAATTCCAGTTTTTCTAAGTATGACAATCTTTTTTTAAAGCCCACTTAAATTCTAAATGATAGTAATTGTATTTTTAATGTTCTTTAATTGAAAAAAGGAACAGGTGATAGACGGATTTACGGAGTCTTTTCAGTAAACTTACAGGTAATTGGTGAGGATATCTGCAGTAAAGGAGAACTAAAAAAGTGAAAGAAGTCTTTCCTGACCCTAAGGACAACAAGCAGAGAACGCACAGTATAGGTGTGTGAGAGTAAATACTGGGCAGGCAGCTTGTGTCTCTCACCTGCTAGACAGTTTGGTCCTCACACCTGGAAACATGCTTGATTTAGATTTGTGGCTCAGCAAAATCAGATTACTGCTTGTCACAAGACTTTAGGCACCTGTGAAAGATTGAAATCACAACTGTTACATTGGTGAGTGGAATCGTCAAGTACCAGGACTCTACTGGACTTTAAGAGTAGTGTAGAAAAGTAGGCACTTTCCAAACTTCATACTAGATACAATATAATAAGCAGCTTTTCAGATCTCGTCAAGGAAAAAACTGTTCTTTATCTAGAGTGATTATACTCTCCTCCCTGGGGTGTGCATATAGGCATAATGAATGGTGTTGGGTAGGCAGAGGGTGGTGGCCAATGTTACGTATGAGGATTGTGGGGTCTTACTGCAAAATAGGAGAGAGGAATTTTTTTAAAGATTTTATTCATTTATTTGACAGACAGAGATCACAAGCAGGCAGAGAGAGAGGAGAAAGCAGGCTCCCTGCTGAGCAGAGGAGCCTGATGCGGGGCTCGATCCCAGGACTCTGGGATCATGACCTGAGCTGAAGGCAGAAGCTTTAACACACTGAGCCACCCAGACCCTCTGGATTCTTCTCTTTTTTGATGACCCGTCCTCTTGGGGGGGAAAGATAAGCATGTACTGTTGCACTGATTTACTGTATACATTATAAGACACAAACCTAAAATAGAAAATTTTGAAGTATGAGATTTAGTATATGTGCTGCCGAAGCGAGCACTGAAGTATGAGATTTAAAGTAAGTGTGTATAGAAGACCAGTACGGTTGACCCTTGACCAGCACAGGTTTGAACTATGTGGGTCCACTTATATGTGGCTTTTTTTTAATACGGTACCGTAAATGTGTTTCCCCTTCCTTAATCTTTTCTCTGGCTTACTTTATTGTAAGAATACAGTATATAATATTAGAACATACAAAATATTTTTTTAAAAGACTTTGTTATCAGTAAGACTTCTGATTAATGGTAGGCTATCCGTAGTTAAGTTTTGGAGGAGCCAAAAGTTATATGTGGGTTTTCAACTGCGCAGGGGGTCAGCACCCTAACCCCCATGTTTTTCAAGCATCATGCGTATTTTCTTTCCTATCCCAGTGGTTCACCTTGAATTTTTCTGACATGTGATTTTTTCCAGAATGTCATATAAAAGAAACTGTGCATCCTTTTGGTCTGGCTTCTTTTGCTTAGCCTAATGCATTTGAGAGCTGTCATGTTATTCTGTGTATCTATTGCTGGTGTGTGGTGCCTTTTTATTTCTGAGTAGTACTCCATTGTTTGGATGAACCATAGTTTGTTTTTTCCTTCACCTTTTCCTTTCCTTTTTCCTTCCTTCCTTTAAAGCCATATTGGTTATTTTCAGTTTGAGTGGAAATATGAATAAAAACACTATAAACATTTATATACAGGTTTTTGTGTGAACCTGAGTTTTTTTTTTTCCTTGTGTAATTACTTGCAAGAGGGGTGGTTGGATCATATGGCAAGTGTATGTTTAACTTAAGAAATAACCAAACTCTTTTTCAAAGTAGCTGTACCTTTTTGCATTCCCAGCAATAATGGGTGAGAGTTCAGTTGCTTCCCTTCCTTGTCAGCTCTTGACGCTGTTTATTTTGTTTTTGTTTTTTTTTTTTTTTAAGATTTTATTTATTTATTTGACACAGAGAGAGATCACAAGGAGGCAGAGAGGCAGGCAGAGGGAGAGGGGGAAGCAGACTCCCTGCTGAGCAGAGAGCCCAATGTGGGGCTTGATCCCAGGACCCTGAGATCACAACTTGAGCCGAAGGCAGAGGCTTAACCCACTGAGCCACCCAAGCGCCCCTTGTTTTGGTTTTTTATTTTAACTGTTCTAATAGGTAGGTAATGCTATCCCTATGTGGTTTTAATTTGCAATTCCCTCATGGCTAACGATGTTAAACATCTTTTCATATGCTTATTTGCCATTATTATGTGTTCTTTGATGATTCAAATTTTTGCCTATTTTTTAAGTTGAGTTTTCTTATTATTGAGTTTTGAGGGTTCTTTACATGTTCTGGATACAAGTTATTGTTTTTTTATTTTTTGTTTTTAAGTAAGCTCTAGGCCCAACTAGGGATTGGGGCTCAAACTCATGACCCCAACATCAAGAGTTACTTACTCTACCAACTGAGCCAAACAGGGGCCCCCGGATACAAGTCTTTATTTATTTATTTATTTTTAATAGAAGGGAATTCTTTTTTTTTTTTTTTTTAAGATTGTATTTATCTATTTGATAGGCAGAGATCACAAGTAGGCAGAGAGGCAGGCAGAGGGGATGGGGGGGAAACAGGCTCCCTGCTGAGCAGAGAGCCCAGTGTGGGGCTTGATCCCAGGACCCTGGGATCATGACCTGAGCCAAAGGCAGAGGCTTAACCCACTGAGCCACCCAGGTGCCCCTGGATACAAGTCTTTTATCGGATAGATGATCTGCGAATATTTTCTCCTAGTCTTTGGCTTATCTTTTCAGTCTCTTAACATTGTCATTACAGAGTAGTTTTTAATTTTAATGAAGTCCAGTTTGTCAATTCTTTCATGAATTTCTAAAATCCCTTTGCTGAACCCAAGTTCACAAGTGTTTTCTCTTTTGTCCTCCTCTACAAGTTTTATAATTTTCAGTTTTACACTTAGGCCTGTGATCCATTTTAAGTTAATTTTACATCTAATGTAAAGGTTCAGTTTTGGGGGGGATATGGATGGATGTCCAGTAGTTCCAACACCATTTGTTGAAGATAATAATTACCTTTGCACCTTTGTAAAAAATCAATTGACCACATTTGTGTTGGTCTATTTCTAGACTCTCTATTTTGTCCAGTTGATCTACATTTCCATGTCTGTCCTTTGCTAATATAACCTTTTTTATTTTTCCTAAGATTTTATTTATTTGAGAGAGTGAGCGAGCAAGAGCATGAGCAAGAACAAAGGGAGAAGGAGAAGCAGACTCCCCACTGAGCAGAGAGCCTGGCAAAGGACTCAATCCCGGGACCCTGGGATCATGACCTAAGCTGAAAGCAGATGCTTAACCTACTGAGCCACCCAGGTGCCCCCAATACAACCTTGTCTTGATGACTATATCTTTACAGCAAATCTTGGCATCAGATGGTGAAGTCCTTCTAAGTTTATTCTAATTTTTCAAAAGTGTCTTGGTTAAACTAGTTCCTTTGCTTTTCTATAAAAACTTTAGAATCAGATTGTCAATGTCTGCACAAAAAATCATGCTGAGACTCTGAGTTGAATCTATAGATTAATTTGGGGAGAATTGACATCTTAAAAACATTGTATTTTCTAATCCATGAGTATAACATATCTCCCATTTTTTCCGGTCTTTGATTTCTTTTATCAGTGTTGTAGTTTTTTAATTTTTTAATTTAATTTAATTTTTTTATTTTTATTTTTATTTTTTTTTAAGATTTTGTTTACTTGACAGAGAGAGAGGGAGCAAGTGAAGGGGAGTGGCAGAGGGAGAGAGAGAAGCAGGTTCCCCACTGAGCAGGGAGCCCTATGTGGGGCTCGATCCCAGAACCCTGAGATCATGACCTGAGCCAAAGGCAGAGGCTTAACCCACTGAGCCACCCAGGTGCCCCTAATTTTTAAATTTAATTTAATTTAATTAATTACTTTTTTTTTTTTTTTTGAGTAACCTCCATGCCCATCATGGGGCTCGAACTCAGGCCCAAGAGCAAGAATCAAATGTTCCACTGACTGAGCCAGCTAGGCGCCCCCAGTGTTGTAGTTTTTAGCATACAGATCTGCAGTTATTCTGTCAGATTTATACCTAAATATTTTCCTGTTTATAGTGTGATTGTAAATGATACTTAAAAAGTATTTCAATTTCCAGTATTCTAGGATATAGAAATTTGCTAAACTCACTTGTTACAGGAGCTTTTCTTTGGATTCCTTGTGAATTGGTGCACAATCTATCATCTATGAATATAGACAGTTTAATGCTTTCCTTTCCAGAGACACTTTAATGATTTTTTTTTTCCAATATGCTTAAATTTTTTTTTTCTTTTCCGTATTGCTCTGGCTAGACCATTTAGTATGAGGTTGATTAGGAATGAAAGTAGTCAGCCCTGCCTTATTCTCACTCAGTCACTCAGTCTTTGACCATTAAGTATAATGATAGCTGTAGATTTTTCAAAGATTCCCTCTTTAGGTTTAGGAAGTTTCCTTTTATTATTCCTAGTTTGTTGAGAGTTTTTATCGAGTTTGTTAATGTGGTGAAGTACGATGATATTCAAATATGCATATGCCACCCCCCTTATCAGCAGTGATTATCATGACTGGATTCCATGTGCTAAGATCCTGTCTACTTGTGATCTCTGTCAAAAAAAAAAAGATCCTGTTGAGGATAGTTGTATCTCTGTTCGTCAGGAGTATTGGTCTGTGGTTTTCTCTTCTCTTTATGGTTTTGCTATCAGAGTGCTGGCTTCTTAGGGATGGAAAGTGTTCCCTTCTCTACA